ACATACGATTGATACACAAGTTGAATGATATGCTTTATTTAATTTTATTTATAGGAAACATTTTTAAAGCCAAATTCACACAAAAAAATTGAAAGCTGACTGAATGGTGTGTAAGGAGTGAACCATAACTTGGAAAATTTGCGACTTGAAAAGCGAAACATTTTTCTAATTTACATTAAATGGCAAGCCTGAAGGCCGTGGCCGCAGGGAGACCAAAGGAAGGATTATTTTATCGTAGATCACCCCATGGTTGAACTCATAATATATTAGTTCAACGTATCTCACTATCATCGTATCTCACTATTTTCTAAACACAACGGGCACATTTTCAGTTTAGGGATCCGGGTGATCGATGGTTGAACTCATAATATATTAGTTCAACCATGGATCACCCGATCCCCAAACTGAAAATGTGCCCGTTGTGTTTAGAAAAGAGTGAGATATACGATGCACTATGAAAAGAAAACAGCGATTGCTGTTGTGGGGCAAAGTAGCAATGAGGTAAGCGGAGTGATTTTTTTCTCAAACGAAACTAATGATTTCCAATTTCAAGCTCCCAACTCGGTCAACTCTGCATCCCATGCAGGAATGCTTAAAAACTATTAGTTTCCATTGTCAACTTTTTTGAGCTTTCATGTTACATTTACGTGAAGTTAGATTCGAACAGTTTGAAATGACATCTTCTAATTATTGCTAGACCCGTGAACGGTTAGACAGCTGTGAATAATAATTATTGATGCATCAATTTTATTTATCCCCATTTTCGCAGAAAATCTTTCGTTGCCCTCATATCAACTTCATTAACTAATGTCGTAGCTTGCGTAGTTTCAAACATAAAATAACTAATTTATTTAAGCTATGCCCTCAACGGAGTAAGTTTAAACTTTAGAGCATGGAAATTTTTATTTTAAAAAATATATCCTGACATGTATCATCATGTGTAATATTGATGCAGCGATTTTTGAAAGACGGAAGAAGTCAAAGTTTGAATGTGGTCGACACACTTTGGATTATTGCTAACAGAACACCAATATCTGAGGGATGAAGAACACACACGATCAAAGTGCTGCTCACGACGAGCAGAGCCACACGAAATCACATTGCAATATTTTTGCTAACCAGGCGTGGCTGACAGACACATCCGCTAATATTTCAGACGATCAAAATTATAAGAAAATGCGAGATTAATATCGTACCAAGGGAAGAACTTGCATTCAATTCTATTTTCAGTTTACTCACCGGTTACCGGAACGTCATGAGACCATATTTATATTGAGTGGGCATGAAATCAGCAGACGATATAATTCAGTGTAATTAAGTCAAGCAATTCACTAGAATTTATACACTGAAAATTGTTGACCCAAAATTTGATATTCTTATCACTCGGTCTAAAATTTTTAATATATCGGCCTTGCTAGACGTTAAGAAATTATTTTCGGGTCTCATTTGTCCTATAGAAAAAGTAAGGACAAAACGACTTCTAAAAATACACGAGAGAAAATGCACCGGAAATTTTGATGAAATGCCTTTCTGGTTTTCAGTACCCAGACCATTTCGTGTATTTCGGCTACGAGTAATTTCCTGACAGCCGCTGAACCATCTTTCCTTGCTCGGTTAAAAAATAACATTAATGCTGCAGCTTCTATCGCAGTAATACGCGTACCTTGTATCAGCTTATCCTTGTATCAGCGTCTAACCGAAGTTCCGCTCCTGATTAAACTTGAAGGCTAAAGGAGCTCAATGCTCAGGATAAAAGTGCGCAACTGAATCGAGCATTCAAAGCAACGGATCATGGAACTAAGTTTACAAAGAGCGTCGACTGCGGCGTGATCATTTTACAAGGATTGGTCAGAACAGAGGATAATTTTGAGTTAGACCACATCAATCCATCATCCGCGTTTCAATAATGTGTATAATCTAAAAATGTCTGCCGCAACTGAATATGACCATTTATTTCATTACAAACATTGTAAATAAGATGCAACAAAATTATAAGCAATTGTCACTTAACCTACGATAGGTTGAAACTAATTGAGGGCAAAATTATGATAATATATGCAATGCGGAAAAATTTAACAAAAATGCAGTTAATTCAGAGGAAGAGGGCCGGGATGAAATATCGGTTAGATTTTCGACTGAATAAAGCCCACAGTTTAGTCAAGAGGACGAGGATAGGAAACTCGTACCGGTCCACTTTGAAATAAATTGTTATGCTCTCACTGTGCTAACATATCACTGTTATAGATGTTTGTGCCAAGTCTTGTATGCTAGAATCGTATTATAAAAGTCTTTGACCTGAGTAAATACAATCTACACAATATGCAACTATATTATGGAGAGCATTCGGTCAACTTCAGAATTTTGTCACTAGCCTTCCTCACAGAGCGTTGTCGCCTTCTTGCTCGTTGTCGCACTAATCTTCTACAAAGCTGTGATAATATTTGACGTACATTAGTTAGTGTAATGTATTAAATTACGCGCGTGAAGGGTGGGAAGAACGCGGCAGCACGGAACAGGCTTTATTGGAACCAACATAATGAACATGAAACAAGAACGAAGGCTTACGGAGAACGACTTCTAAAACGTGCTTCTTCTTAGTGGCTAACTACAGGAATACAGGAAACTTGATATGCTACAAATTGTACTTAATTTCTGCTGACTATCTTGCAGCAAACAGTAGTCTGAGTGATCGTTCCTCTAAACAAGATTAAGGCGCCAAGACCAAGACATCGAGTGAAGCAGCAAAACAAGCAGTTGCTGAGAGTGCTCCAATAATGGGAGCATATTATCGGGTTCAAGATAAGGTTTCCCCATTTACTGACGTCATCATCAAAATGTTGAGGATTTCCTCAGGGTACACCAAAAAATCGCGCCTGCATTGTATAAACTCTTATCTTCTCTATTTCCTTAATAATTATCTAATTATTGTCACTAATAATAATATTGATCAATTATAATTACTACTATTAACTCTAAAAAATAAGGTTAGAGCTTATTCTCAGCAAAGTTAATTCTTTATACACTATTCTGTGTAGTAAATATAGCACTTATATATCACTTGTGGGACATGAGTACTTGATGTTTCTAAAGAAGTATAGGCGGTAATATAAGCTTGTAATTTTCTGAATTATCACCAGATGAAGCTGAAGCCATGCTAGCGTATATAAGAAAGATCGAAAATTTTACGCTAAATCTGAAGTTAGGGGATATTTAGGAGATGAATTTCTAAAATAAAGGTTAAGATGAATAAAAAAATTTTATTTTGGAATCTTCTTATTTCTCTGAAAATTTCCTGGAAATTTTTCGGAAAATATTCTATTTTCAATTTCTGACACAAACGTTCAAGGCTAGTGGTACACGGCAAAACTCCTTCAATTCTGAACTTATTCGGATAAAATTAAACAAATTTCTAATTAATAGGAATGTGCTGCGGTAAGCATAGTTACAATTTCTGTAGTCGGATTCGTTTCCGATGAAAATAAACTTTTTTTATATGATAGATCACGCACTTGATAGTTTAGGTAAGGCTATTTGTTATCACGACATCAAAATAACCTAACGCAAAACTTTAAAATTTCGTGCTAATCAAACACGAAGCAGAGTAAAAAATAAAAAAAGCTTATAGCGACGCATTGATATTAATGCCTAACGTGTTTAATCTCATGCAATTTTAATCTCTCATGATTTGGTAAGAATTTGCGGCAGATGACGGAACAGGCACGACACTTATTGAAGACGACGTAACGCTCAAAAGAAGAAACTAATGAAAGAAATACACCTTCTTTTGAGAAGTTATATCGAACAAAAGTTCTTAGGAACACGAGTTTCTTCGGAGACTCCGGTAGTAGGACGTACAGTTACTGTATTGGTTTAGTATGAGCGCCTAGGTAATTACTTTTATCTCACAAGTCAGAATCTGTCGTAAAAATTGCGTACAGCTTATGTGCTCTCTGTCGTAAAAATTGCGTACAGCTTATGTGCTCTCTGTCGTAAAAATTGCGTACAGCTTATGTGCTCTCTGTCGTAAAAATTGCGTACAGCTTATGTGCTCTCTGTCGTAAAAATTGCGTACAGCTTATGTGCTAACTTACTAAAAACAAACGCAAGTTCCTACGCCATATTTTGAATACCATGAATAAATTTGTATGTATTTATATGTACAAATTTTTGAAATGAAATTTTGAAATGAAGAAAACTCTATTCTAATTTCTTCCTTTTTTTTTGGTAATGAATTTGAGTATAGTTTGTTTTAAGCGAGGGTCTCGATCCCATCAACTTTTTGTCAACCAATTTCTATTTCTGCCTTTTCCCGGACTAGGGTAAAAATATGAGTTGTTATTGAAATTTCAGATATATTTCCATCATCACAATAAATCGTTCGATATGGAGCGAAAACTTTTTATCATAATAAGCGTTTACATGCGTTTCATATTATTTTCCTCCAGATTCGGAATTATTTCTAATTTATGATGTATGAACTATTAGAGTGCAGTGCGGTAATTTCTCTCTTCTTCTGGCAGGGACGTTTTAAATATGATGGTAGTGTCTATGTAAAGTAACGATTGTACTATATGGAGACTAGTACTAACTTTTCTAGTTAGTAACTAAGACCGGTTCATCCAAGGATGGCGTAAGATAATTCTTACCTGGCGTAGTTAAGAAACAATAAACATTACACTTGTGCGACACATTTCCATCGCCTATCGAAACCATCGCATATCGCATCAATTGGCTACGGAAGCAACTTTTATGACGTTAGGAAAAGAAGACTTTGTATAACAGTTATCGCAAAATTTTGGTTCAGAAATACTTCCAGTTTAATGCCCTTTATCTTCGCCACTGTTAAGACAAGAAATTTTAGCAGGGACCTCATAAATTGTGGTCTTGGGCTGTCAAGAATGGAATCATAAAAATTTTAAATCCTGATCCGTTGATAAGAAATACAGGTATAAGCGCCTTGAACTAACAACACTGGTACGTAATGAGTAATGAAAATCAAATAAGTACAGAGAGATATACTTCAGAATAGATAGCAGTGAATAATAATTACACACGATATTGTACAACATTTACAAATATTAAGTCCTCACTGCGGTCGAATCTGTTTATCTTGATACAGTCGAACAATCGAGTCAAGGTAACACTGGCAAGAATCTGTCAAAAATCTTGAGAATGTCTGGACTGTAACGAAGCCAAAAATCAGCAGCCGCGAAACGATTTAGCAGCAACGAGGTACTCTGTTAGTGGATCTTATTATCTTAACATTGCTACTGCGGGTCAATACCCTTATAGGCTTCTTCCATTACAACCTGCTTAATGTTCAATTTCTTTTTAATTATAAATGATAATCAAATGAATGAGAACAATGGAATACGAGAAAAATAGATAATAGTATTTTTGTCATCAGAATAGAGAAGATTTAGCATATCGAAACTCATCTGTAGCAAAATAAGAATTAGCATAACATATCTGTTATAAGAACGAAGCTTGAGAAACATCCGTTCAGATAAGCTAAGACAATTTTTACGTAAGTCAATATGACCACTAAAACATGAGGAATTAAACAAGTTACACGAATATCCTCAGAGATGCACACAAATGATGCTAGAAGGAAAATAAAATTGAGCATACTTCAAACACATTGAAAATTGATTACAATAAACGATCTGCGTGGGGGTCAACGTTTACGGTCGTTTAAAAAAGGGCTACGAAAATTTTTCAGGTAGTGCCGATACTATCTAACAAATTTACTGATCCAGATAGTTTAAAGTACGTCATGGTCAGCATGCTACAAACGACGGACAGATTCTCGCGTCAGACACACGTTGGTCATCATAGAAAATCCTCACCGCAGTGTGAGGTTAGAAATCTAGAAGAAAATTCTCATAGAAGATTGCAAGAGAAACGAGTAAAGAGAGAACAATGTCGTGTGCAAACTGTCTTCAACAAGAAATTCATCTCCCTGACGTTGACTATTGGGTTCTCCAGGAAGATGACCAAGGCTACAGTAACAACACGAGGCCAGTGAGAAAAACAACAACGACTCGCTATTATCACGCCAGTCTAAGCACGCATGCTTCAATTTACACGTTATGAACACACGTAAAAACAGACGCCGCTAGCGTTCCAATAAAACAATATAAACCGCAAAGTTATTAAATTAGGTTAAAATGGAAGTTCCTAGTATATTACAAAAGGTATTAATGCAACTATTGCAAGTAATCGCACGCCAACTTTAAAAAAATTGTTCTTCCGAAAATCCGTCAATCAAGTCGAGCTCAGTCCCATTTCCGTCCGAGAGGAAAAATTGCAAAGATAGCCGAGATAATGCGCTGAGCCAGGCTACCTCTTCGCTCTTTCTCTGGTAGGTGGAATACCGACAGCCCGGCCCCCTACAACCTACACCGAAACTCTTCACATCTAAGGAAGGAGATCGTGTAGCTGGTGTGTAGAGTCAACCTGCTAGGCAACTCAATTGATGACGAAGAAAAATACGGGGACTAGTAATACCACAGAGCAGATCATGATACGAGGACGCAGATTCCGAGCAGCATTGTATGCCTGTGGTAAAAATAGTGCAGTAGTAGCATGGTAATGTCTTTTGGTCAGTTTCTGCTCATTATGGAATAATTAAATAAATACATGCTAATATTCAGACAATCTCCGGCACGAGTCTCAGTACAGCAACGTGTACTGAGCAGTGGACATATTGGTCGCTGTTGCGTGTCAGGTGCGGTGTAATGATTGCCAGTCTGCAGCGCTCGCAATTTTGAATCCTGCGCTGTTTTCTTCTGAGCGCAACACAGCGTGTGTGATGCAAGCGAGCATGAAAATAATCAGTAATATCAGTAAAAAAATTACTAAAATTTTTTCTCTCATACGCTTACAAAAAGATGAATGAACAGAACAGAACGGTCTAGGAAACGTAAGGTCGATGTGGGGGGAAAATTTGCATTAAAATAAATAATATTGACGCAAGATAAACATTGAGAGACGCCTTTGATGTCATAGGTAAAGACAAAATCGACTGAACATGCCAAATAAACATTAGGAAATATGAATAGGAATACAATGCATGTGATTCACTCGTTTGCTCGTAGCATGAGCTAAGCCTTCAACAATTCCTCCTTTTTATCTATCAAATTGAGACTCGCTACTTCTCACGGGAAGTCAAAAAGTTCCTAGCACATCAATAATTTCCTTAAACAAGTGATTCGACTTGATGGATAAACCCAAGAAAAATACTAAAGTGTCTAGAGATTATTAAATGTTAAGATCAGCCATCATTTTTCTGAAGTCAGCTAGGGTGCTGTAATCTTGGTCTTCTTGCTGGCAGTCGCTATTCGAGTCGCCGTTTTGGTTGTATGCAGGATTGTGTCTCGTGAGTAGCAGCGGTACAGGCAGGAGTTCCGGCATCACGGAATGATGTGTGATCAGAGTCCGCAGTGTAGGGAACTCTTTCGTGAAGCCCTGTAACACAAGGATATCATACGATAAACTGAACAATGAATATTTCGTGAAGCCCTGTAATACAATGATATTATACGATAAACTGAACGATGAATATTTCGAGAAGCCCTGTAATACAATGATATTATACGATAAACTGAACAATGAATATTTCGAGAAGCCCTGTAATACAAGGATATTATACGATAAACTGAACAATGAATATTTCGAGAAGCCCTGTAATACAAAGATATTATACGATAAACTGAACGATGAATATTTCGTGAAGCCCTGTAATACAAGGATATTATACAATAATCTGAACGATGAATATTTGGAATTCAGGAAGGACTCGTGCCTAAAATTCGAATTGCTTGTTTACAAAAGCCGATTTAGTTCCAGGTTGTCTGTTCTCTTACGCCGTCATGCTGGGCGGTCAGTGAGTAAAAGTAATTTGAACCAAACGTAGCTCATACTTCGAAATGACGTAAAATTACACAGAAAAATTAGTTTAATATAGAATAAAATTTATAAATCCCGTAGTTCATACTAAGGCAGAATCTCAAAAGCTAACAACTTTGAATTTTCAATATAGGTTGTGCATTGCCCATGAAAATCATTTGTAGAAGAATTCCGCTCAATATTGAAAGTAAGAAATGGACAAAACCGTACAATGAGCGGAATGATCTACAAGCACGACTCATCATTGCGGTACTCTGCTGACTGACTGAAAACATGTTCGGACGTGAGTCATCAGAGTAACTAAGAATGAGCTGAAACTTAATGTAGAACAAGATCTTCAAATGAATCATAGGGTGGAAAAAAACGTTAGGTCTTAAACCACCAGCAATTTTCGAAGCGAATCCATGCTTCGAGCAACATTCAGAGACAATAACAATAGTACAAGGTAAAAATTACGTTGAAATTGAATAGCGGAATTACGGTAGATGTTGAAAAATGTAATGAAAATTAATAATTTTAATGTTTTTCACGCAATTCTTCATTTAATTGATTGTGGCAACTATACTCGTGGTTGTAAAGGCAATGCTAGTTTCACTATTTGCATAACTAATATTGTCACTCTACACTGTAGCTGCAACGGTAATACAATTACAATAATTGTTATATCTAAAATATCGCAAACAACTTTATACTGTAAATTCTTGAAGCAATTTCACAGCAAACTAGATCTGTGCCACTGTTAGCGGCCACCTATATATTGCAGTATGACTTCCTAGATCTAGAAAGATCACAGTGAGTGAGAGGTAAGAGGCCATCTCTATATTGAAGGTTGCTCACCTAAATGGAGAACGTTGTTACTTCGTAAGTGTATACTGTATAGCGATGCCTATATAATGAAAAACCAATTTTTTAATCTATAATGATGTAGCGTGTGATGAGCAGTCAATTCTAGATTGAAGAGTGACTCTCTCAATCGATCATATCATGACGTAACCCTGCAGGTGCAGAGCGGCGGTTACCTTTATCCTGTAGCCTCTTGATGTTTTGACGATGAGGTAGTGCGCTATGCCAGTAGACGCGAAGTCAGTGGGCACCCTCAGGCTGAGGGCGTAGCAGCCAGGCTTGCTACTTGATTCACGGACCAGAAATGCTCCCAGAGGCTCTTGACCGAGCACTTCTAGCGCTATCTCCCTGTGAACGAAATGTTAACTTGTAACACCACACGGATGCCTTATCTTGATGAGCTTATTATTTTATTTCATTAGAGGGGAAGCGAACTAACCAGGTACCGTAACTCAGATATAAATTGACATTAATTACTGGCTAAACAAATGTTTGAATAAGGAATACTTCGGAAGACCAAACAAGAGATGAGAAAATAATAGTTCGAATATGATCAGAATTGAACAGTAGACAGAGGTGTTAAGCTCCTCAACAGAAATACTGATGTTGAACGCTTTTATTGAAGAAACTATAGGGATAAAATATGACAACAGCTTAATGCTGCAGGCCGCAAGAACAATGTATTAGAGCCCACGACCAGCGACAAGATCCCATTACATAACCAATAATGCAAACAAGAATTTCATCAGGAATGTTTTTTTTTCGAGTTTTTTATTTTATAGTTAATCTACGACTTGTACTCGGGGCTCGTTTGCGACAAGCACCTTGGGATGCCGGCCTGGAACGCACCTTGGGATGCCTGCCTGGAACGCACCTTGGGATGCCGGCCTGGAACGCACCTTGGGATGCCTGCCTGGAACGCACCTTGGGATGCATGCCGGCCTGGAACGCACCTTGGGATGCCGGCCTGGAACGCACCTTGGGGTGCCTGCCTTGAACGCACCTTGGGATGCCGGCCTGGAACGCACCTAGGGATGCCGGCCTGGAACGCACCTAGGGATGCCGGCCTGGAACGCACCTAGGGATGCCGGCCTGGAACGCACCTTGGGATGCCGGCCTGGAACGTACCTTGGGATGCCGGCCTGGAACCAGGCAGCGGCTCGTAGGTGCGGTTCGTCGGGCGCCGTGAGGGAGTCGCAGCGCTCGGGCAGAGGAGGTGGACTGGGGCAGCTGCTGGAGTGGTGCGAAAAGTTGGAGTGGAGGGGCGAGTTTGAGTGGAATGGCGAGTGTGAATTGAGAGGGGAATTAGAGGCTAATGGAGAAGGTGCGTTAGATTGAGATAATGTGGCATGGAAAGGTGAATGTGAAGAATGAACAGAATGCAAGGGTGAATGTGAAGAATGAATTATGGCGTGAAGAGGAGAGTTCATTGACTGGTCTAGAGAATGTGAGGTGGAGGAGCATCCGTCGGTCTCACTGGGAGCGATGTTGTGTACGAAGCTCGAACTGCTGCTGCCGCTGCAGTGGTTCATACAGCTGCACACATATACACATTTGGTTTATACAGCTGCACACATATACACATTTGGTTTATACAGCTGCACAAATATACACTTTAGAAACTTCAGCGGGGATAATTGTTGTTGTAGTTGTGGTTCACAAGAGACCCTCTCGCTCAAGTAGGAGCACCACCGACAGGGTGGTGTCGGAGGATATCTGCATTCAACGGGGATCGTTGGATGCAATCATGATATCTGATTCGATAATTAATATTTCAGGCTGAAGATTGTTTCAAGTATCAAGATCATTTTTAGGTGTCTGAGGACCCGTACTGAAAGATTTAACATCTTATAAATATTACCTAGGTATATGATGACAAAGAGAACTGAAAACATGAGAGATGAAAGTTAAACAAAAAGTAGCAAAGCGGTCACAGAGAAAATATTTCAGATTATTTACACAATAACAAAATATTTCAATGATCAAAGACCCATAGCATTGCAGTTCTACGTTTACTTAATAACTCATGTACTCAAGTGTGGAAAATTAAAATATGCCTTTATTATTAAATTTAGAAAAGTTGGATGTTATGTAAGCGGTGTATGAGAATAAATCCAATATTCTTTTTTTGCTCATTCGCGTGCAATTCCGTGCTATAGGAATTACGCAAACATGAATAATGTCGACCTACAACTCAACCATTTTAAAATTGGAAAAAACGTTTTTGAAGCACATGGATCATTTAGTATTAGCAAATATTCCGACGGCGATGATAAGGCAGAAATCCCAGGCGCCGGTTCGGGACACTGCCGAATTTTTACAGCTTTCCGAGGCTCTGCACCAGCCACTCACTCCTCTTGTCTAACCACCCGGTTCGCTTCACCGGTTTTGGTCAAAATTTGTTTATTGCAAGCCGAGATCGAACCCAGCACTCATTGCTCAAATTTTGGTGTTTTTACTCTACAGATCGAAATTGGTTAGAAATACCACCTGCCAAAATACCTGCCATATGCAAGCAGTGGTGGCTTATTCAATAATTCAAGTCAGTGGTGGCAATATTAAATGATTTATATTGTACTGTACGCTCCCCATAAGATATAAATTAAATAACAACGATTCATGAATGTAAATAAAGTCGCACCTCTCTGAAGAATTTCGTCCTCTGTCTTTAGACGCTTCGTTAACATAGCCTTGTCCGCCTCCTCCCGAGTTGAGGTTATTGGTTATGTTGTTATTGGATGAGTGCGGGGAGAAGGCAACTAAATGAGAAGGTGATGAGTGGGGAGAAGAGTGGACTAGATGAGAAGGGGGAGAGGATGATGGCGGTGGAGGGGCGTCTTCTGATGGAGGCACGGAGAACTGCTTCAGCAGGGGCGGCTTGTCGAGTAATCTGTGCGTGCTGTTGTGGTCCGTTGGGCTGCATAAGATACATCAAAAATTAGAAATCTTTTATAATCTTATATTATAAATCAAAGTTAGTGTGATCATCGTTAATGTGATTAATTGGTTTTAAAGTTTTCAAGCGATTAATTGTTCATTGCATAGTCGTTTTACTATTTTGTTCATAAGATCAATAACCACGATTTTTTTAGTCTTTGTATAAGCTTAACGTTTTTTAGAATTCTTGATCAAAACGAATTCATAATGACGAATAAATCTCTATTTTTCATTGCTTCAATGAAGATCTCACATATTCATTGAAACGTATGGGTAAATAATACTTACAAAGGCGACAAATTTACAAATGAGATGGAAATTAATGTAGCGTGGCACTCGCCTGTTGCTGGTGTCTGAGTCTGGGGAGTCGAGCGCGTGGCACAAGCCCGCCAGTGCAGGCAGCGGCGCCGGAGTGCGCATGCTGATGTGGCTCTGCTCTCGTCCTTCCAAGCAATTACTCGCCTGCACACGCAATAGCAATCTGAATTATCTAGCCAACAGTCTGATCATGAAGGCAACGAGGCAAACAGTCTGACCAACAGTCGGAATGAAGGCGTTGAACAAGGGCATAAACTTCAAGTTCTTCTAGAAATAACAATAAATCATCAATACAGAAAAATACTAGTTAAGCATGAGGCAAAATCAATAGAGGATACAAATGACAGAAAAAAAAGAACACTCACTAGACACGCGTGGTCGCAAGGCCGCTGGTCGATGTGTGTGTGAGTGAGTGCGTCGTGCGGGAACAAGCGCGAAGACAATTTCTCGCTGTTGTTGTTGAGGCCGCTGAGGTTATTAGTGTTGTTGATAGCGTTATTGTTGCTTGTGGAGTATCCACCGTTGTCTTTAAGACTAGACGAAGTAGAAGAGGACGAAGTCAGTTGCTGCAGTCGCTGTGACGAGCTTGGGGATGACGAGCTGTGACTCGCGGTCATCTGTCTTCGGCTGGACCATGACCCCCCGGAGAGGTGATGATGAGATGATGAATGCTGGTGAAGAGGATGAGAGGAGCCTGGAGTATTGGTGGTTGTGTTGGTGTTTAGTGGAGGTGGTGAGGGTGGTGGAGTGGAGCCTGGGTAGTCGTGTAGTCCAGCCGCCTTCTGGAGGTGAGCTGCGTACGCAAGACGGAAGGCGTGTCCCAGTATTGACTTCAGCTCCTCAGCCTGCACATAAATAAAGAAAATGAAATCTTTCAAGTAATTAGAGATAGCCCGCAAATACTTTGAATCGAACTTGTAATTCAATACTTGTGTGGTAAAATAGAAACATCATGCCATGGAGTGATCACGGAATAACACTCGAGACTGTTTTCAAATTCATGTTTCCACGTTTTCAAATTTAGCAAGCAGCATCAAGAATAGTCTTGAACATTTATTTCAAAAGATAATGTAGAGACTCGTCCGAAAAAATTGAAATTGCCGTTTTCCTTGATAGTCGTTCGATACGTAAATTTGATTACAAGCTTTAAATTGAGAGGCATCATGTAAAAACTTAATTGGGGGCCTAAATAACAATATTAATAAAATTGAGAAAATAACGGCATTTATTACGACGTACGAAACCAAATGTTACTTTTTCGATACACTCAACTCTAACAGCATAAGAAGAAACACCTACCAATGCGCGAATAAAAACTTATGCTTTTGGGCGACTGAAACTAAAAATAAATGATGACATAAAATGGAATGAGTTACACATTAAATTCAACAAATGATGGCACGATGTAAGTGGCAAAAGAAAAAGTTGCCAAAAGCATAACTCTTTCGCCTTTTAAATAATTCGTGAGTTCCATAATGCTTGGACGAACGTTAGGCTTTTATACGCCTTACCCTGATCGATAATAAGAAAATGCATTCCCGCTTACAAGTTGTCGATTAAAACAGAAAAATTGCCGTCAATCTCACAACATTAATTACATCGCCTAACGAGATTCCCAATCCCAATACTGCTTCAAGTCGGGGTGGTAAGTAGAGTTTCGGATTAATAGGGCTCATTTACCAATTAGATGTACTGTAATACTTGAACATGGTTGTTCTACGAATGCCACATGCAGTTGCCCACAAAAAAAATGTTGTCCCTACCAATGGTTTTCAAATCCCTGTAATTGAATGCACATCCAATGTAATTATGAACACAGTTGAAGTCGATGCTATGCAATATTTCTACGATGCACAGAATTTTCGACACTTTGGAGAATCAACAGTTGTCTTAACAGGCGAATGAACTAATTCGTTGCTACATCTATCATTGAAATTCGTAAAATCAGAATAAAAGACGCGCGTAAATTATGTTGAATGAACCTTTTCCACCTCCATTTCCACTACACATTTATTTTACAATTTACACAATACCAGGCAGAAAGGCAGCCGTTGGCGCAAGCGACACCAGCGCACAGTAGCGTATCAACAATTATATCAGCGATGAGCAGAGCTCTAAGCAGCTATGCAGGAAGCGTCAGTAATAATTGAGCAGTTTTTTAGTCCCTTGTCTTCGATGAGACTTCCTTTCCATTCTCTTTCCCGCCACTTATTCAACCACGCGGTACTGGCTTACAATTAGCACTTCACTTGAATTCTAAGGAACACGGCATGATTTCATGGGGACACGCAAGGAAAAACAACAGTGCTCACGGGAAATTACTAATTAGCTAATGGCATCTTCAGGAAGAGAGGCATTCAAATGAGCAGCTATCTTTGTGAAAGAATTACCACTTTTATGAGCAAACATTTAATAAACGGAACATTGAAATGCATCGAGCTGAATTAACCTGAATGTGTCAGTTAGTTGATAGGACAATCTAACTCGCGCAAAACATGGCATTATGAATTTTTAGTCATAAAACAGGCCAGCACAGCCATGCATCGACAAACACTAAATTGTACGAAAAAATGTATCGTATAAGTCGCTCTGACACCCGACAATGCAGTCTTTCAGGGCATTGAGCTATAAGCACGCATAGAGCTATACATTGAAGCATTAAGTATTGAGGTACAACAGGCATTGAGCAATAAGCAGGCTTGAAGCGACAGAAATAATACAGAGAGAGAGCAGAGGAAGAAAGCTATCACTGGGAACGGAAGGGAGCCCGAGGCGCGTAGCTCCCAAGACGTTTGCTGCCTCAGGGTAGAACTTCCGAGCCGCCGGCGACGCCCGAAGCAAAAATCAAGCCAACATCCCCGGCCTCAATGAAGCGCACAGACAATGCCTTCCACGGCAACAAGAAAGAATCCAATTCATTTTACTGGACTACGCCTCGTGTAATGCGAGCAAGCATGAACGTTTCATTAGTATATGTAAAGCTATTGTTTGTTTGAAAAGTGGTTCAAGAAAGAAAATAATGAGACATCTCATTTGAATTACGATATCTGATAATATTATAAATAAGTTAATAACAGCCACAAAGATTGTACGATCAGAACGTGAGTTCACCAGAGTGTATGAATCGTTATGCGAACTCAAGAGGTAATTCCAGCAACAAGATAAACTTAGAGGCCATGACAAGCTAAGTGAAATGATGAGAGCGCGTGTTTTTTCTTCTAGTGAAGCAAATGCAGTGCTCGTAAAGAGACAATTTACACGGATAGTATCAGCAAATTTGCACAATGAACGTCGGGTAAAGTTAGAAAATTTTTAAAAATTATTTATCTCCCTTAGTACATAGATGAAACTACTTAAAATTTTAAACCAATAAATGACACGATTTTAGATCTTCTGTGAACAAGGCACGAAAAGGAAAAGAATCGGCGACAGGCCACATCAGGCCTACACTGCAGCGCCGAGATCACTATGTTATGTTACTATGTTATATAAACAGAAGAAATGTTCTCAATGTTTTTATTGCTTAAAAAACAAAATTTTCATCGCGTATAGATTCCCTTGAATCCTGTACGAATGAATACACAGCGTTTCAAATGCACGATTCATTCAAATGCACGATACGAATGAATACACAGCGTTTCAAATGAAGGCAAGTACGCAGTCAAAGATGGCAAATAGACAGGCAAGATATATAAGAAAACAAGCAGGCAAGAAAGGCAGGTAACGAGACAACCAGATAGAAAAGGCAAGAGGACAGACAAGAAAGGAAATCAGACAGCCAAATAAGCAAGAAAAAGGTAAGCAGACAGGCAAGAAAGGCAAGCAGACAGGCAAGAAAGGCAGGCAGACAGGCAAGAAAGGCAGGCAGACAGGCAAGAAAGGCAAGCAGACAGGCAAGAAAGGCAGGCAGACAGGCAAGAAAGGCAAGCAGAAGGTTCCTCCTAGAGTGGCCCCCACTCACGCATTCAGTTACACTCACAGGAAGTGCGTTCGCTAGCTGCTCGTCTCGCTTGAACTCCTTACCGCACGCTGCGCGAGACGCGTTACTTTACTTTTCCATTGAATTTAGAAGCACATTTGCTAATATAACCCTCCAGATCGACACATTTCGACTTGTTTTATGATGTTGGAGATCGAAAAAAATTACTCAAAGCTCCGATTCTATGTGAGAAACAATTAAATTTTCAGAGTTCGTTGCCCGAGTAAATGCACACTTATAGCTTGACAACGTAATATGAATTAATTAAATGGGCTAAAAATCAAATGACTTCAACTGAGAAAAACACAGAGGATGAAAAATTTGATGAATGAGTTGTTGAATGAAGTTAGTCGAGTTCACAAATTATTAGTAGTATGAAACGTTGAGTCATCATCGAGTATTATTGAACCATTAATGAATTTTTCCAGGACTCTATAATATAATCATAATGCGTATAATCTCAATTCAAGAAAATTATGCTTTGATACCTCAATTAGCCACAGAAAAGTTTGAGTGAATAGTCTAAAACGTCTCACAAGAAGTGCTGACATTATAATCATGACGATACAATAACAGGAACGATTTGAACAGCTTATTCGTAATTTTAAATAATTACGTAATTACTGTTGTGGATACGTAGCATTTCGATAAAATACTTATAACAGATTTAGATCCGAGCAGTTGCTGGCAACGCAGAATAATCACAATTTCTAGTTTTGAAACATATCTGTCAGGGACACAAATTCATAAGGAACAGGGGGATGTACCGGGTGGGTTATACGAGTAAGAAATCGAGAAGTGAGTACTGAGTAGGGTAAAAAAGTGAGAAGTGTAGCTCTATACTGCGTGGTCGATCGGTTCTTAGAATCCAGGGCATGCCAATTAGTGCGGCGAGATGAGACGTCAAGCTGAGACCCTGCTAGCCAACTGGAGACTTATAAATTGCAGCGCCAAATGCAGGTGCCGTAACAGTGCACACAATTATACCCGTCTCTCATTGTTCACTCGCATCTCAGAATCTGGCACAGATATTGCTGCCAAGTTCTTCAGAGGATACAATTGACTGTAGAGAAACAAGTAATAAATAGATTCAGTGCAGCAAAGAGTTCGACCTAATAAAATGGATGCCCACTTCCGCCAAGCACCTCATTAGTCAACAAATTGGGGTAGTTTTAACGAGAGAAAGATTCTATGGGGGACCGTCAACGAACAGGAAGTCATCTCGTCTTAACTATACACGACTTTTGTCGCCGTTACGAATGCCTTCGAGTTCTTGGAACGCAAAACAGTTCCACTGGCATAGCGCAATAATATTTTTTAGTCGATTCTCTCAGGTGCTCAACCATTAAATAGGAATCTAATTTGAAAGTTATTCTTTGGGAAAATCGTGGTGCTAAGCGGGCGAAAGAGCAATCTACTGATGTACAGCGTGAAATTTGAAGCAATGATCCGTCAAGCCGTCGCGTGAGAAATTTAACAAGTAATTGAAGCTTGATCTGTAAATATTGATCGATTGAATTTAACACCGTTCTTATTAGGGAATCTAAATGAACTTAGAAATAATTAATTGCATTTAACATGGGCAACACGCTCCTAGAATCTTGGGACGTGATACGACGAGCAGAACAAGAGAGACGAGATTTTTTATGACCTGAGATAGAAAGCCGCAAGCAAGAGACGCTCGAGGCTTTCTCTGTCTTCACCCACGCCCCATTTTGTGCTCACCAAAGACCGCACTTCTGCCCAGGTTAACTCACAAATACCAACATCAACCATAAAAACATTAAATTCTCATGAAAGGACAATAATTAATGTATGAGTCATATCAACTACAATATAAACTAAAAATAATACCACAAGCGTATA